ATGACTTGATTGCATTTGCTATTTAATGCACTCAAAGTGTCAGATTAAAATCCATTACACATATTTACCATACCTTATAGGGGATAGGAAAAAGTTGTACGTGTATTATAGATTGTATTACTGCTCCAACATTGTGAAGTTTATTGTTCGTTGTTCAAAACCATGGAATCCTGCAGCATTATTTTCCTAGTAAGTTCTCTGCATCTCACACTTTGTCATTATTAACTAAAATTAAGAATTATTGGTTGCTAGTCAGATCACAGGATGCAGGCTCTGCTGCCTAGGCCTGGATTTATTGCCTAGCCCTAAATAGCCTTGAGAAAATGTTGGTGAGCTGCTTCTTTGAGCTTTTGTGGCTGTCCTTCGGGGGGTATGAACACCCACAAAGCTGTTCAGTAGGGCGTTCCAGGATTTTAAGTCAGTGACAGTGTGGGAAAAGTCATATAGAATGGTATGTGACTTGGAAGGGAACTTGCCAGTGTCGGCATTGCTATGCATCTGTTATCCTCATTCTTCCAGGTGGTAGCGCTTCCACGTTTCAAAGGTACTGTTGAAGAAGACTTTGGGAGTTACTGCAGTGCATCATGTAGATGGTACAAACTGCTGCCATTATGCATTAATCGTGAAGGGAATGAATGTTGGTGTTTGTTGTTGGTGTGTGTTGTCCAGAAAGCAGTAGAGGCCAAAACATTGTATGATTTCAAGGAAGAGTTGAATATAGCACTTACCATGATGGATGAAGGTAGGGCAGTGGATGTTGTCCATATTGACTTTAGTAAGGCCTTTGACAAGGTCCTGCGTGGCAGGCTAGTCATGAAAGTTAGGTCACATGGGATTCAGGGAGAGCTAGCTAATTGGATACAAAATTGGCTCAATGGTAGGAAGCAGAGGGTGATGGTTGAAGGTTGTTTCTCGGACTGGAGGCCTGTGACTAGTGGTGTGCCACAGGGGTCAGTGTTGGGACCTTTGTTATTTTTTACTTACATAAATGATCTGGATGTGAATTTACAAGGCATGATTAATAAGTTTGCGGATGATACAAAATTAGGAGGTATTGTTGATAACGAAGAAGGTTATCAAAAATTGCAGGGGGATCTTGGTCAGATGGGGAATTGGGCTGAGGATTGGCAAATGCAGTTCAATATAGATAAGTGTGATGTATTGCAAACCAAGATAGGACTTATACAGTAAATGGTAAGGTCCTGAGGAGTGTTGCAGACCAGAAGGACCTAGGAGTACAAGTACATAGTTGTTGAAAGTGGCATGACAGGTGGGCAGGGTGGTGAAGAAGGCATTTAGCATGCTGGCCTTCATTGTTTGAGGTATTGAGTCTAGGAGTTGGGACGTTATGTTACAGTTGTATACGTCGTTGGTGAGGCTGCAGTTGGAGTAATGTATACAGTTTTGGTTACCTTGTTATAGGAGAGACATAGTTAAACTGGAAAGTGTGTAAAGTAGATTTATGAGGATGGTGTCAGGACGAGTAGGCCTGAGTTATAGGGAGAGGTTGGAATGTAGGAGAATGAGGGGTGACCTTATTGAGGTGTATAAAATCATGAAGGGCATAAATAGGATGAATGCATATAGACTTTTCCACAGGGATAGGAAATTGAAAACCAGAGGTCATAGGTTTAAGGTGAGAGGGGATAGATGTCTGCAAGCATGACCCCAATCTTCTGGTTGCCTGCCATTTCAATACACTCTCACACTTACATTTTCTGTACTAGGCCTGCTGCACTGCTTTAGTGAAGCCCAAAGCAAGCTGGAGTAGTAGCACCTCATTTTCCTTAGGCACTTCAAAGCCATCTGGACTCAACATTGGGCCCAACAACCTCAGACCTTAAGTCTGTCCTCCATTTTGATTTTCTTGTCACCCCCAAGAGTCTGCAACTGAGCAGAGATGTTCTGCAAAGTGCTCACTCAATCAGTATTTGAGCTTGCCAATGTGTGGGGCCAACATAGTTAGCAACAAATATAGTAAACTGGATTGATACAGAAAATACAGAAGCTTGAACATATGCACCAACAGATTCAAGAACAGCTTCTTCCCTGTCGTTATTAGACTGCTGAATGGACCTCTCTAATTTCAAATAATGGTGATCTTTGCACCTCCCGTGCAACCATAATCTTGAATGCCTTGCTCTGTCTAAGCACCCTATGTTCTGTATGCCCTTGTTTGCAATGATCTGCTGTACAGCTCACAAAACAAAGCTTTTGTGTTTTTACTTTCATTCAGAGATGATCTTAATTCTGCTACTAACACCTACTCTGGACCTCGGCTTTGGCTCTTTTTTCCAACCACTATTATTTCCTTTGCTTTTTCTTCTATGATACCTTTAAGCTCTAATCTCCCTGACTCTAATCTTTCTTCGATCTACGCGCTATTCCACTTCTGCTTGCCATGTTTTCAAAAAGACAAAACATATCATGTTTTTAAATCTCTTCAATTCTGACAGGAGGCATATTGGACTTGAAATTTTTATCTATATTTAAAATACTCTCTCCAGTTGCTGCCAGACCACATTTTCTCTTGCAACAAAATTGAATCAATTCTGTGAAAACTAACAATTGAGTTTATATCAAATGGAATGGGGATAGGTTAAGAATTGTGAGCACATCACACATTTAAAAGGTATGAAAGGGTTTAGGGTTGCTCGTGCAGTAAGTTACTAATAGGAGAGTTGTGTATTGTATGGTACTGAGTTAGCAGGGGCAGCCCCTTAATCAAAGTGCATTGATATGGAAGTACCGGTGTGGGACTGGGGCGGACAAGGTCAGAAATCACATGACACTGGGTTATAGTCCAAGAGATTTATTCAAAAACACAAATTTTTGGAGTCTTACTCCTTCTTCAGGTGTTAGTGAGAGAGTGATACTACCGTGTGCTGTCGTGTGATTTCTGACAAAGTGCATTGTGCATGGTTATCTCACAGCTGTTTTAAACAACTGCTTCCCAAGGAAAATAACTAATATGTACCTTGTTTGTCCAGGTCAGATCATTGGACTTTTAGTGATAGTAGCCTATAACTGTCTTGGGCTGACAGTGGGCACAAGTGATCTTTTTGGCTGGCTTCCTGTCATGGACAATGAGTACTCTGTCTTTCCTTTATTCTATTTCAACCAGCAGGGCTCGCAGAACAGATTCAGTTAAATTGTGACAGCCTCTTCTTGCTCTATGCCATTCTTTGCTGCCTTATTTGTCCACATTATTGTAAAGTCACAAAAAAAAGTCAAAGTAAAATACTGCAAATCTAAAATAAAAACAGAAAATACTGGAAATTTCACTCAGAAGATTGGTGGGAATCTGGAATGCACTGCTTAGCGGTGGGAAACCCCACATCCTTTAGAAAGTATTTGGTGAACACTTGAAATGTCATAACATTCAAGGCTATGGGCCAAGTGCTAGAAAGTGGGAACAGTGTAGATATATCAACACAATCTCGAAGGGCTGAAGAGCCTCTTCTCTGTTGTATGATTCTATGACTTTCTACTCAGTGGGTCAGGGAGCATCTGTGGAGAGAAAGACAGGGTAACTTTTCTGGTCATTAACCTTTCATCAGAATTAGCCATGAACAACTCACTGGACCAAGAATTTTGCTCATCTCCTGCTGGAAATTTCAGTGAGAACTATCTTTTTAAAGATTGCTCTGATGTCTATTTTACAGAATATTTATGCCAATGACTGCTCTAGTGTCTATGGTGGCGAGGAGCCATAGCATAAACGTTTGAAATTTCAAGGCCAATATATGCAAGTAGTTATCTGTACTTTTTAAAATCTGTGCAGAAAAGCCTTATATCCACTTTTTATTTACTTACAGTGACATGTGTCACAGTGTAATTCAGCATTTCTCAAAGATGCTGTTAAACATTAGTTGGACATGTGAACTTTACCGAAAGACTAATGGGTAAAACTGCTCCCACAAGTAAATTCCAGTCAGGAATTGACGAAAAATTAATAAGTAGAAATGAAGTTACCAATAAATTGAAAATAGAAATTTCATTCAATATAAAAAAAAATCTGCTTAACAGTTAAATCACCTAAGTAGGAATTTCTTCTAAAGATTAGATTTAAATAAAATTGATTAAGTCTAGCAAAATCTCAGACTACATATATATGAAAATGTGAAATGTCTTAGAAAGCAGTAAAAGGTGCAGCTTGAAGCAATAGTTTTTTTTTATTTTTAGCACATATATGTCTGAGATAGGCAGAAATATTATTCAACAGACTGTAAAGTTTGCCCACAAGCAATCAAACCTTATATAAACAAAGCTAGTCTGTTTAGCTATAATACTGGCCGAAGCAATATATGACAATGTTAATTTATTCTCCCCTTAGTGCCAGAAATCAAGTGCTACGAAACAATCAGCATTTACCACCAATTATTATTTAGATACAAATATATGAACGATAAAGAAAAACTTAATAAATTCCTCATTACAAGGATTTTTTAAAAATGATCCAAATGATGAAATTTCTTCTCAAGTTGCATTTCTAGCATTTTTTTTGATAATTATCATCCTTCCTTCAGGGCTGGCCAGCAATTTGTTCCCAGCTCTGATAACACCATGTTTTATTCAGGATTACTGAAGTAAATTCTAGCATTTCCAATCGTGAGATAAACACAGACCAGGGATTAACTCTCATCTGTAGTTGTCATCTCCTTGTCTCGGTCTTCATCACATCACACTAAGCATTCACTGAACGAACCATCAAGGAGTCCTGCAAAACTTGTTTTATACAGTTCACAGTGACAAAGTTAATGCTTTTTCTGAAGATTAGCAAGTATCTAAAAGCCCTAAAATTTCCTAGGCATTCTGTGAAGGAGTACCTATACTGTACTCAATACCCAATGCAATGAGACAATCTTTGCAACAACCAGAAACAGACACAAAAATAAATAGCAGAACGTCTCCTTCCTTTTAATATGCAATTTGTCAAATTTTATTCAAGTAACACTTATTTGCTCCAATTGCCTGAGCCAAACATTTTTTGGAGGGAGGTTTGTTTTCAAGAACAAAAATGAAATGAAATCCAGGTTTAGCTTTCCCATTTCTTGTTGCAGCTGAACACGTCAGACAGGCAGACTGCTAGCCTGCCAAAAAATCTTTGAAGCTTGGTTAAAGAAAATATTCAATTGACTATTAAAACAAATGTCAGTTCAAACTATTGACGCAGAGCTGGTTAACAATATTGTTCATTTTCACCTATCTCAGCTGCACCTCTCAATTATGCTGAGTCATACTGAGGTATAAGGTTGAGGTTTACAGGACATTATTTCCCCATCCTCCTTACTAAAAGTCATTTGATTCATAGAATCCCTACAGAGTGGAAACAGCCCATTCGGCCCAACAGGTCCACACCGCCCCTCCGAAGAGCATTCCACCCAGACCCATTCCTCTAACCCCACATTTCCCATGTCTAACACACCTAACCTAAACACCCCTGGGCACTATGGGCAATTTAGTATGGCCAATCCACCTAGCCTGCACATCTTTGGACTGTGGGAGGAAACCGGAGCACCCGGAGGAAACCCACAAAGACAAGGGGAGAATGTGCAAACTCCACACAGACAGTCGCCCGAGGGTGGAATTGACCCCGGGTCCCTGGCGCTGTGAGGCAGCAGTATTAACCACTGAGATTTGGGAGACCAGCCAAAGAGTTGGGCCATTTTATACTGCTGGGTTGTTCATTGCCTCACGGGAAGACTTCCATCCTCATTGTAGGAAGCAGTCCATCAACACCAGATTGTGAGCAGTGGTCATTGCTGGAACTACAGCCAGAACTTGAAGAAGAGAAGGTTATGGCAGTTGGACTGAAGATAAGTCTGGGGTATAGGTGGGGCCTGATTGATAGGTTGTTAAGTCATCGAAATAGGAATGTATTCAGAATTTGATCTTCAATTATACCAACTGAAACTGTTTCATAGATTTAATTAAAGCAACTATGGTAACACAGTGTACTGGAGCCCCAGCATACTGTACTGAAAACTGTTGGATGCCATTTTCTTATACAATTATTTCCTGATTTTAACATAAATCTGAGAAGTGAGGGAGTCATTTACTGCCCTAAATGTCCTTGAGGAGGTGGTGGTGCCATTTTAAACTGCTGCATTCTGTATTATGAATGTACTCTTGTTGAGCCATTGGGCAGGAAGTTTCACGATTTTGACCATGTGATGTTGAGATAGCATATGTCCAAATGAGGGTGGTGTGTCAAATGAATGGGACGGAGTTTCTATGTCCACAATACCACTGACCTGGGCGAGAAAAGCTGTAGGATCGCAAAGAAAACCTTGACAAGTCATTGAATATTTACAGTACAGGTTAGAAGGCTCACTTACAAGAACAAACTCCAGAGTGACAACTAACCTAAGGTTTAAAGAGTAATTAAAGCAACTACTTCAAAAACTTTACAATTTCAAAATTAAAAGGAAATTTTCAGCTTCAATGTTATTTCTGTCTTCCACTGAATATTTATTGTTACCAACTGAATAGATGGGATTTAAGTGATGAATATTCTAACACAAGGTCTATAAAGCTTTGTCAGTTTCACAGGATATGCAATTGATATTTTACACACACAGACACACACACCCCAAACTTCTAGCAATCATCCATTGGACAAGCCAATGTACAGACAACAAAAGGATACACAATTTGCTTTGAGTCTGGCTGAGATGAAGTTCTACCCTGTAGATTCTTCAATAGGGTGTGTATAATCTCAATGTCCTTCTGCCCCATATTAACCACTTTGCCATTTTGCAGGTCAAGCTTAAATGTAATTAAATCATGTAAAAGATAAAGCATTATTAATGTTTATCATTTTACCGAACACATCGGATTTCTGACATAAAATGAGATCGAATGGTAGATGCAAATTCACTCACAATAATGACAGTGGGATGTATCATTGCTCAATGCCAAACTACTGTGAATCATTTATATATTCAGTTTGTGAAATGATTTGGCTATTTAAATGTTAACTGCCATTTACCTGACTTGCCAATTACTACTTTTACAACAATCTATTAAATATTTCATTATCTGTAACAAAATCCTTTTCCAGCCCAATTATTTTTAATTGATGTGATCATCTGTAATGTTTTAATTAGGTATTTTAGACTGCAGTGAAGTCAGTAATAATGAATAAACTTCCTCCCGCTACTGGTGTTCTAAAACTACTGAAATTATGCAAAACAGTAGTTGTAGTGCAACATTTGGAGGATTATCTATGGAATCAGAGTGAAGATTTACCCTCTCACCTGTGGTCCTCTACACTCTGAGTTCCTGATTTGAACCATGTTAACACCAGAAGATGCCACTCAGTGACCACTGGTTTAGGACCTGGTGTGGGCCCCTACTTGGTTTCCGCTGCTTTTTCAGCTGGTTGCAGGAAGATAGCTTCCACATCCTCAAGGTGCTTGATGCCTCTAAAAGGCATCAAACTTGTCTCCTGCCCAGTTAGATTACGTGCACTAGAAGTTTGCATCACAAGATTGGTGCAGGTGAGTTGCAGGATTGGAATCCAGAATTCATTTGGATGTCAAGTTCTCAATCCTGCTTTAAAAATCTGGCCCCAAACATTTTACTGATAGTAAGGAGTGAAAAATCACAGGCACTGCTAGCTCAGGCTCTTCTACACCTCTTAATTACCTAATTTGCACAAGCAACAATTGTACCTTCCTTCTTGATAGGGGAAGAAGGTGTAACCTGAAAATATTTATTACTAAGTCAAAGTATTCCCTTCCTTAATTATCAGCACAATATGTCAAATGTTGGGGAGTTTACTGGTGGGGAAAGGTAATACATACACCTGTGTTTAAGTTCTGCACACGGTTTTCACTGTAACATAAAATGTGGAAACTATACCATTACATTTTAGGCCAGCTAACAGAAAAGTTTACTGTGCGATAACATAGAAAGGTGAGACTTATTAAAAATAATTCTCAAGATGTAGGTATCACTAGAAATGCCAGTGGTTTATTGCTCGCTTGTAGCTGCCCTTGAGATGGTACTAGTGAGCTTTATTCTTGACTGCTGTAGGCATGTGGTGAAGATGATCCCTGTTGTGTTTAGTACGGAAATCCAATATTTTGATCAATTAACAATGACAGAACTACCAAATTAGGCCACTTTGGCTTAATTGAGTTTCAGATCAATGGTACCAGCAGGTACAGAAATGTAAAAGTACAAAATGTCATGGAGAATGGTTATAATGTCTCTTCCTGGAGATGGTCACCAGTAGGCAGTGGGTATGATAGGAATGTTACTTGTCATGCATCAGCGTAAGCTTAAAGATTGACCAGATTTTACTGCATGCAAGAATGGTTGCTTCATTATTTGAAGAGTTGACAATGTTGATTACTGCAAAAAACAGTGAACAGTTCCAATTCTCACATTATAATGGATGAAAGGCCATTAATGAAGCAGCTGAAGACAGCTAGGCCAAGGCCATTACACTGAAGTTCACCAGTGATATTCTCGACAATTTAAATCATCGTACTAGATACGATTCAAACCCCTGGAGATTTCCCATCTCTGTTGACAGCAGTTTTACTAGGCCTTCTTAGCTTGACACTTGGTCAAATGCAGCCTTAATGTTAAGGGAAGTCACTCACTTCACCTCTGAAATTCAGCTCTTTTTATCCATATTTCGACTAAGACTGTAGTGATGCCTGGAACCGAATGAACCTAGTGGAAGGCATACTCAGCACAGCTAAGCAGGTTATAAGCAATTGTCAACTGATTCACTGTTGACGATATTAATAATTGAAGGTAGGCTGATAGGTTGATAATGAAGAGATAGTGAAGAATCGACTAACTTGGTTTTAATAGGTTACTCAATTAGTCTTTCAATTCTGGAGTTTGACAAATCGAAAACAATAAAATAAAAAATATTTTCTTTTGCCATTTAAATGTCAAAATTGGGGAATACATTGACAATTTAGAGGATGATATTTGTTACTTATAGTTTATAAAATAATTATAAATCATACAAATTGTGAGATAAATGGAAAAAAACAGTAGACATCTGTCCATTATTGATTTTTTTAAACTAAGGGTAATTGTTGATTCTGTTCATATAATATGTCCAATTTTAATTTGTAGCAGACATTGATACGTTTTTGAGCCTTACCTACGCATTAGCTGTCATGTCTTTTTAAGGTCACTATCTGAAATTTTTCAGCAAGTCTGATGTTGATTCATAGAAGGTTATACAAACAGCTTACACTTGTAAACTGCATTTAGATTAGGCAGTAATGCAGCCAACACAGCATGCTTGATAGAAACTGTCAGATCAATAAGTTACTCATATAGCAATACATCTGGACATAACCCCACCTGTTTCAGAAAAAGAATCAAGGCCTCAACTGTGTCACTGCTCAATTCTTCTGATTTTAGCTCTGCTGCCACCTGTAGGAACTGCTTCATATCAGCCTCAAAAACAATATTCTTGCAGTGATATTTCAAAAACTATCAAAACATAAAATATCCGTGGTTAATGGAACACACCTAAGAACCATACAATTGATATCCAGTCAAAGTAATTATTAAAGAGCATTATCATGATTGCAACACGGTATGTTATTAAAACTTTTTGGAGGTCTGTATGAATTTTTGATCCTTAATGTATTAGAAATCATTAGCACAGGAGGAGGTCATTCTGCCAGCTCTCTGGTTCGGAAATTTAATTTAGCTGGTCTCACTCTCTGACCTTATCAGGGGGCCAGCAAATAATTTCCCTTCAGGGGCTCATTCAGTTCTCAGTAGAAAAACATAATTGAATCTTCCTCCATCATCCTTTCAGGCTGTACATTCATATTCTAACTACATGTTGCGTAAAAACATTTTTTTGCATGCAGTGTTCTATGGTTCTCTTGCCAATCGCTTAAATTAGTGCTCTCTGGTTCTTGAACCTGCCTGCAATGAGAACTCTCTATATACTCTGTCAAGACCTATCAATATTTTGAAAACTTCTATCACATTTTCCATTTTGTCTAATGATAACTGCACTAGCTTCTCCAATCTATCCTGGAACCATTCTTGTAAAGCATTTTAGAACTCTCACTAAAGCCTCCACATCCTTCCTGAAGTGTGGTAATTAAGAAGGTCTTTATTGTTGGTTTGTTATAGTAGTTGGAATTTAAGAAAAGCAAAGTCTTGTTTTAAGTGTACAGGGTGCTGGTGAGGCTGCCCCAGATTGTTGTGTGCAGTTTTGGTCCTTGTATTTAAGAAAGATATGGGGGTTGATTAGCTCAGTTAGTTGGATGGCTTGTCTGCAATGCTTAGTGACACCAACAGTGTGGTTTCAATTCCCACAGCGGCTGAGGTTACCATGCTGGACTCTCCTAAATCTCTCCCCTTGCCTCAGGTGTGGTGATCCTCAGGCCAAACCACCAGAGACTATGGTAACTTTATTTAAGAAAGGATATAATGGCACTGAAGGCGATTCAAAAGAGATTAGGCAGACCGCTAGGATCAATGCATTGACTTAACAAAACTGCTAAAGCAGTTAGAACTTTATTCATTAGCGTTTAGAAGAATGATGGGCAACCTTATTGAAACATACAAGATCTTTCGGGGGCTTCATAAGGTAGATGTTGAGAAGATGTTTCCACTAGTGGGAAATCTCAAACTAGGGGCCAAAGTTACAGAATAAGGGGACATTCATTTCAAACTGAGATGCCAAGGAATGTATTCTCTAGAGGGGTGGCAAACGTTTGGAATTCTCTGCTCCAGAGGGTTGTGGAGGCTAGATCACTGCAAGTATTTAAAGCGGAGGTAGATAGATTTTTGAAACATCCAGGAATTGAGGGCTATGAGGAGCTGGTTTGAAAGAGAAGTTGAGGCCTGGGCGCCAATCTTTCTGAATGGCAGAGCAAGGCTTGATGGGCTGAATGGTCTACTTATGCTCTGATTTCTTAAGTTTTTATGTTCATTAGGGATTTTCAAATCTGCTTCCTTGCAATGCAAGTAATTAAACACCATACTAATTTCTAACACTTTCTTGGTCACTGGTTGCCAAAATCACTTGTTTGTTTACAAACAGCAGATAGGCCATAGTCTCCTTTAACACTCCAGTTCATTACAATCATATGACAATTCTTTGCAACACAGTAATGTCCAAATGTCCACATTCCAATCTTTGTTATCCATAAACATATGCATTCCCAATGTTACAACAACATAAGCTGCTAGTTCAGTGATGTTCATGCCGATCCTGCATCAGTGCCTTCAGCCATGAGAGGACCCATAATAGGCAATTAAAAAATTTATGAAAAGGAGTTTACCACAAAAAACATTCTGCTGGTAAAGGGCTGGCTCTAAGCTTCATGTGTTCAAAACAAAACCTTAATTTTTTGTAGGTTTTAAATAATTATTTTTCCCAAAATGTAATTATTGTCTCAATTAAAATTTCTGTAGCTTTACCAACCTGATGTAAATACCTACCAAATAGAAGTAGTGGCTGAGAAGAATTGCAACCATTGCACGCTAAGTACAGCTATTGTGGACAATATAAATGGCAAATTTAGCTCCCAGATTAATTTAAAGATAGATTAGTTGGTTTCTGATAGCTGCAATGTGACCATAATATTACAGCAGCATATCACATCAAAGGGGGAGATCTCTTTTATTAATCTTATGGCCTCCTTACTTTTCAGTTATAGGGTTGTGAAAGATGACAACATTGGCCACCCTAACTCGTAACCTGTGCGGCTGTGTGCAGGTTTGGTCTCAAAACCACTGCCCTGGAAAAATCTCCTGCGGAATATGTGCTCAGCACTTGGATGGTAACAATGAGACTTGCACAGATCTTGCACAAATCGGCAGATGTAGAAAGACCATAAGATACAGGAACAGAATTAGGCCATTTGGCATTGAGTCTGCTCCATCATTTGATCATCAATCATGTTTCTCACTCCATTCTCCTGCCTTTTCTCCATAACCCTTGATTACCTTACTAATTAAGAATCTTGCGTCTTAAATACAGTCAAAGACTTGGCCTCTACAGCTTTCTGCAGCAATGAATTCCATGGATTCACCATCCTCTAGCTGAAGAAATTCCTCCTCAACTCAGTTCTAAAGGGGTCTCCCTTCACAATGAGGCTATGCCCTCAGGTCCTAGTCTCTCCTACTAGTGGAAGGACTTTCTCCACTATCCAAGCCTCTCACTATAATAAAGTTTCAATCAGATCCCCCTCCCCCTCATCCTTCTAAACTACACTCAGTGCAGACCTACAGTCCTCAACCCACCTCATATGATAAGCCTTTCATCCCTGGGATCATCCTTGTAAACCCCCCTTCCAACATGAGCACATCCTTCCTTAGATATGAAGCCAAAAACTACTCACTATATGCCAAATGTGGTTCTGACCACAGCCTTATACAACCTCAGCAGTACATCTCTGCTTTTGTATTCTAGTCCTCTTGAAATAAATGCTAACATTGAATTTGCATTCCTAACTGCCATATGAACCAGAATGTCAACCTTAAAAGAATCCTGAACAAGTACTCCTGAGACCCTTTGTGCCTCAGATTTCTGAAGCCTTTCCCTATTTAGCAAATAGTCTACACCTCTATTCTTCCCACCAAAGTGAATAACCTCGCACTTTCCCACATTGTATTCCACCTGCCACTTTTTTACCACTCTCCTAGCCTGTCCAAGTCCTCCTGCAGCCTCCCCACTTCAACATGATCTGTCCCTCCACCCATCTTTGTGTCATCTGCAAACTTTGCACAATGCCCTCAGCTCCTTTGTCCAGATTGTTAATGTATAATGTGAATTGTTGTGGTCCCATAATTGACCCCTAAGGAACTCCGCTAGTTACCAGCTGTCATCCTGAAAAAGACTCCTTTATCTCCACTTTCTGCCTTTTGCCAGTCAGCTAATCCTCTATCCATGCCCGTACCTTGCCCCTAACACCATGGTCTCATATCTTCTTTAGCAGCCTCCTGTCTGGAACCTTGTCAAAGGCCTTCTGGGAATCCAAACAGATCACATCCACTGGCTCTCCTTTGTCTAACTTGCTTGTTACCTCCTCAAAAAAAATTCTAATAGACTTGTCAGACATGACTTCCCTTTGACGAAGCCCTATTTTTACCACGCACTTGCAGGTACTCCACAATCTCATCCATAATAACGGCCTTTAAAATCTTATCAATGACTGATGTCAGGCTAACCAGCCTATAATTTCCCATCTTCTACTTCCCTCGCTTCTTAAACAGGGGTGTTACATTAGCTATTTTCCAATTCTGTGGGACTTCCCTGACTCCAGTGATTCCTGAAAGATCACCGCCAATGTCTCCACAATCCCCTCAGCTATCTCCTTCAGATCTTTAGGGTGTAGTCTATTCAGTCCGGCTGATTTATCCACCTTTAGACCTTTCAGCTTCCCCAGCATGTTATCCTTAGCGATGGCAACTGTGCCCACCTGCCCCTGATCCTCTAAGTTCTGGTATGCAACTGAACCCTCCTGCCCAACACTTTCCCTTCCCCCCTACAACTCCCTCTGTTCCCCCCACCCCACAGTACCTTCCAAAACCATGACTGCTATTATCTAGATGGGCAAGGGAAGCAGATACAAGGGAACACCATCACCTGCAAGTTCCTCCCTAAGCACTGACCATCCTGACGTGGAAATATAACGTGGTTTCTTCACCGTTGCTGGGTCAAAATTCTGTAATTCGCTCCCTAATGGCATTGTGGGTCTATGTACTGCACATGGACTACAATGGTTCGAGAAAGTTGCTAACCACCACCTTCTGAAGGGCAACTGAAGTTGGGCAATAAATGGGGGCTCAGCCTATGATGCCACATGAAGGTTGTCAGTATTTACAAAGTATTCAGTTTTATTTCCTTTATTCATTCACAGGATGAGGACATTGCTTTCAGGCAGCATTTATTGCCCATCCCTAATTGCCCAGAGGGCAGTTGAGAGTCAACCACATTGCTGCAGGTCTGGAGTTACACGTAGGCCAGATTGGGTAAGGATGGCAGTTTCCTTCCCTAAAGGACATTACTGAACCAGATGGATTTTTCCTGATAATCCACAACAGCTTCATGGTCATCACTAGATTACTGATTCCAGATATGTTTTATTGAATTCAAATTCCACCATCTGCCATGGCAGGATTCAAACCCAGAATGTTATCTTGGTCTCTGGATTAACAGTCCAGCAATAATGCCACTAGGCCATTGCCTCCCCCATGTTTAAATGAGAACACATAACTGGCACTCAGGCTGAATCATCACTCTGTATGAGAGATTTTCAATAAAAGCCTTTATCAGGTTCTTAACAAAAGAAGATCTTTTAACAAGGTTTTATTAGAATCTTTTTCTATGGGCTACAGTTTCTGTTGGTTTTGTTTCCAGTTTATTCTCATCCACTTACTCATAAAAGGAAAATTACAGTATGCATTAAACATAATGTTTTTAATCAGGTATATAATGAAGTAGAATCTGCTTTAACTCATTTCAGTGTTCCTTACCAGGGCAGAAAGTCTGAGAAATCCAGAATTGAAAAGGCAGTTCTGTGTGGAATTCACCCTTGTGAAAAGCAGGAATCGACTCCAGGGCTGTGACACCACATGGCAAACTAAATGAACAAAATGTTCTTCAATATTTGGAGTGGATCTTCAAAATAACACTTTATTTCATACTCTCTTTAGATTAGGATTAAATAACATCCAGACACTTCACTTGCTTCTCTATTGCATGGTGGCTGGACCTCTGTGTTAACTCACTATATGTTAGTAACTGTTATACCCCAATTTTGTTGACAGCTACAATTCTAATCAATATGCTGCTCTAATGTGAGCCATCCAAATTTCCAAGTTTTATTCTGTATATTTTTGCTATAGAATCGGGTTATAACTACTTTATGACAGTAGACTGAGTTGGAAACAACTTCTCCTGATTTTCTAAACCCATGGATAGTCAGACTTTTTCCAAGAGTAAAAATGTCAATTACGTGGGATGCGGGTTTAAGGTAAAAGGAGAAAAGTTTAAAGGAAATGTGAGAGGCAGGTTTTTTTTTACACAGAGGGTGGTGAAGTGGCCGGAATGCGCTCCGAGAGGAGGCGGTAGAAGCAGATAGAATAGCAATGATTAAGAAGCACCTTGACAGATACACGAATAGGCAGGCAATAGAGGAATATGGACTGTGAAGAGGCAAGGGGTTTTAGTTTAGAGAGGCATCATATGTCAGCGCAGGCTTGGTGGACTGGACGGCCTGCTCCAATTCTGTTCTTTGTTCTTTAAAATCAGTCCCCCAAATGCTCTTATGTTTTTTGACCTTTGCTACATTCATTGTCCTCCAAGTCCTGAACGAGCTCATTGCAATATAAGGTTATATAGCATAATGAGCTGAGACAACAAAGAGGAGTTTTTCAGCTTGATGAGTTTGGAAAAATTGATCATCAAGCTCTACATCTGTTCATAAATTATTAGGATGATGCTTTTTGGAAAGCCTTGCACTTGTTTCTGAGAAAACAAGCAAGAAATTCTGCTACCCTTGCATCACAGATTTAAAAATTCCTTATCAGCATATCTTCATTCTGCAGAGAGAGAATGGCTGAGGATAAAGAACAGTGAAGCAACATCCATCAGATACAACACACTCAAAAGAATGCACAGCCAACACCAATTCTATGAAAATTTTTAAGAAAAAAAAATTGCAGGTTACACAAAGATTTTTATCTTTCTAGTGCAATAGTATTACGATACATACAATGGATGTTACGATCCCTGACCCCAGTAGTTATGGAACTGAGCACATTCTCATACTCACAGATGTCTTCACCAAATTCATACAGGCTATTCCAAAGATGATTCATGGTTCTAATAGCACCCTGTACTCATCCACAGGCTATTCTCTGCATATTAGACAATTTCCTTGGGCTCCCAACACATTCTGATAGATGGGGCCCAGTCAATGAGTAGACAGCTGAGTATCACATGAGGCTAAGCCAGACTTTTCCAATGCACCCAAGAGGACTGAGGGAGTAGTGTTGAGAAGCAAACAATTCAACAATTGCTAAGCTGACAGGATGACCTTCCAACCAGTGCAAGGGAATTCCTTCAAAATCAAATATCAGGCATCAGAATAACATACAGGATGTGTAGGACACTGAATCCCACAAAATCATCATGCACTTTGTCACACCTGGCCACATCTATATTGTCAAACCAATAGCTGGAAGGCAGCCTCAGAAAACAGCTCACCGAGGGGAACTGCTTGAGACCATAAGTTTGGTGAATGTTGTGGAGGCAAGCAAATCATTCAACAGCATTATGGAACCTAAAGTGTCAGTGTGTGATGGCTTGACTGAAGTGGAGTCATATAGTGATGTGAAATTCTGGAGTGATTTGTGAATCTCAGGGTACATTTGGTGTGGGGATCCCTCCTCCTCCCTGGGAAACAGCACAGGGGGAAGCTGTCAGGAGGCAGCGTCTTGAGCAACAAATATTGTCAATCATACGATTCTTTGATGATCAATCTAAAACCCAATCTGTGTGATGCACAACAGAGTGTGGATCTCTTGGAAGATAAACGTAAATGTAAGACACTGAGAAAGTCTTCTCAAGCAAATGCCAGATATCATCCCAACCTTATTATTTGCTCAGATTGGTGCTGTAAGGGGAGAATGCTGATACTAATGTGGACTCAAACATTCTGACCATCATGGGGCAATCACACATTGCTTAGTTAATACTTGAGATAGCAAGAACTGCAGATGCTGCAGTCAGAGATAACAAAGTGTGGAGCTGGAGGAACACAGCAGGCCAGGCAGCATCAGAGGAACAGGAAAGCTGACGTTTCGGGTTGGGACCCTT